GCTCCCTCTATAAGCAATGCACAGTGCTACACAGAGATATCTAAGTACCTGCTGGGGCCTTCAAAACGGTCCCATGATAGCAGAAAAGAGAAGGAAAAGATCGATAGAATTGGATGGTATTTTTCCAGAATTCCCTAAAGAGTAGATGTGGCCTTAGGGGAGGTGGAGGGACAGCCTTGCACTGAGAGCCTGCAGGTGCCTGGCACACACCTCGTTCCTCACCTCCATGGTATACACGTGAGGTGGATGGCATGACCCACATTTTACAGGTAAGAAAACTAAAGGTCAGAAATTAAACCGACTCCCTCAAAGTCATTCTGCTAAACTGTCTGGCACATGCTATACATTGTTGTGAATGCTTTTGAATGCTGAAAGAATCTGTCCAGGAGCAACTTTCAACATAGGTTGAAAGCCTCAAAACAGTTTATTCTCTTTGAACTAGCAATTTAATTTCAAGTAATGATCAGAGATGCACGTGAGGGAATGACTGTTCACTGTACATACAGTGAAGGCAATGAGGATGATGAAGCACAGCTCAGAGACCTGTGCAGAAAGCGACCTTCAGCTCTATGGGCTAAAGGGAAGGGAAGATTCGAGACTTAGACTGCCAGATTTCTGGCTGGGCAAATGCTGGGGTTATGCACAGACACAGTGACCCTCTAAATGGTGCCTTGGTTCATGAACTCAATTTGTTCCACAGTTTTGGAGAACATGGCCACAGTGGTGTTTGTCACCCACACAGAGTTCACAAACGGAAGCAAAATTTTGCCCACCGCTTCTGTGCATGAACCAAACTGTTCACAACAAATAGAGTCACTTGGAAGTATTACTATATAAAGCCAGAGATGCTAGGATCAGTTTTTGTTTGTTGGTTTGTTTGTTTGTTTGTTTGTTTGTTTGAGACAGGGTCTCACTATATAGTTGAGACTGACCTGGAGCTCACTATGTAGCCCAAGCTGGTCTCAAACTCACAGGGATCCTCCTGCCTCAGCCTCCTGAGTGCTGGGATTACAGGTGTACACCACCTCGCCCAGCTTTACAATCAGTTTTAAACATACTACATTTGAATGACTTTGTGTCATTTAGCAGGAGTTGTTCTGTAAGAGCTGTCCTGTGGGTCTGAGCTCAGCAGCACAACATCCAGGGAGAGAAAGATTGGTTACTGAAGCCTTGAGGTGGGCTAGCTTGCTCTGAAGAGAGTGTGAAAAGAGTTAAGGATGGAATCCTGGAATTATAATATAAGCAAGAGACACCCCCCCCACCGAGGGAAGATCTAAGTCAAAAGAGAAGAAAGGTTACAGATTTAGGGAAGAGTTGTCAGAGGTTAATCTAAATAGGGAGAGTGAAATTTTTTCAAATTCACTCTGTACATGAAAATCATTAAATGTAATTTCCCATGGATAGTGGGCAGCAATGCCATCTTTTTAATAGTGAAGATCTTTTACTTTTTGTTATATAAAGTATCACCCTACACAGTTGCTGTTCAGAGTTCACGGCCTCCATTATTCGAGGTTTGTCCTTAGAACCTAATAATTGTTCATGGAAAACTACCACAATTTTGTAGAAACTGCGAATACTGTATTTTTCACATTTTTTTTTTTTTTTTTGGTGGTTGGAGGGGGATTGCAAGTCACCAATCCAAGAGCTTTATTCAGTTCTGCTTGTTCTGACTGGTTGCTGCCCTATAAACCATCTCCTCTAGGTATACCAGCACTCTTGCGTCATAACAAGTTGCTGTACCGCATGTGTAGCTAGCTCAAATGTTCTCGGTTTTGTTCTTTCTTAAAGCCCTAAGCTCTGTAAGAAACCACCATAATGCCCTGCACTTCCTAAGTCTTCTGGTAAAGAGCCTAAGCACCAGAAGAAGTTTAAGACACTCCACGAGAAGCTTGAAGTACTATACAGTACTTCAGTATTACAGTAGTGTATACTGTACTTTATTAAATTATATAATTGCAGGAGACATCACATATTTAGGGTTTAAACTATAGTATAGACATTCATAGGCATTTTTCTGACTATATGTGAAATTTGCAGTTTTTCACAATTTGCAAAAGCTGTAAGAATGGAACTCCTGTGAATTTCAAGGGTCCACTGTATTCATTTTCATTCATATTTTTTCTCCCTCTCTCCCCCTCCCCTAACAGTACATAGTAGGAATTGAACCCAGGGCGCTCTAGGCAAGAACTATATCACTGAGCTATATCCTTGACCATTTAATTTTGAGTCAGGGTCTTGATAAAAACTTGCCCACATTTGGAATCGTCCTGCTTCACCCTCCCCAGTACATGTCCCCAGTACATATGTACTGGAGGAGGGATTACAGATGTATGCCTCCATGCCTGGCTGGTTCTCTTTTGTAATGACTATGGGTTAAACAGTATTATATCAAATGTGATGTGATGTTGTTACAGTTTATATCTAGATGCTCCCGCAAAGCCTCCTGCGATTATATGTGGAGTTTTGGGAAGGTGATTGCATTGTGGAGGCTCAGATTTGGTTTCCTGTTAGAAATGGGGTCTGGTCAGAAAAGATGGGTCACTGAGGGCATGGCCTGGAAGATTTTACCTCCTTGGATCTCCTACCTTGAGATCTCTCTCTCTCTCTCTCTCTCTCTCTCTCTCTCTCCTTCCCTCCCTCCCTCTCTCTCTGTCTCTCTCTCTCTCATCTCTATCTCCCTTTCCCCCTCCCCCCCACACCTTTCTGCCCACCATGTCATGGGCAGCTGTCCTCTGCCAGGGCCCTCTACCATGCTATTCAGCCTTGGGGCCAACCAACCATGAACTGAAATGTGAGTCAAAATAAACTTTTCCTTTAAGTTGTAGGTGCTCGGTATTTTGTCCCAGAGACAAGAAAAGTGACTAAGACAAATTTCAACCTGACATCGTGCACAAAGCTAACTTTAAGAAACGTCTAACAAGAAATGCAATGTGGCTTATACATAGGCATAACAGGTCCATTGAAGAAACACAGATGTTTCTAACTTCTAGGAGATCATGTGGGTCAATTCCAGTATGAAAAGATAGGTCTTTTTATATACCCTGATAATTTTATGGCAGCTGATTTCTAAAATCCCTTTATCTCTAGCCATTAAGTTGCATATTTCCTGCCCCATCTTTTCCCGGTCACTTTGTGGCTAAACTGTGCTTATGGGGGGGAGTGTCCTAAAAAAAGAAAAGAATTCCTTCTCCCCATCACTTTCTCCCCTGCACTTTCCAGTCCCTTACCCATCTTTTCATTCCAGTCCATATACCTCCTCCTCCTTCAGATCACTTGACTTGCACTGTGGCATGGGCAAAAACTTGATTTGCTGACAGGAATACTTTGAAGCAGTCAGGCATTCCCTGGTGCCCACAGTTGTGTCGTAGTGATTGCTTCCCCAGAACAACACCATACCTTCCAAGAAGAAGGTACAGAATGAGCAGAAGTCATTGGAAAGCCAGGTTAGAGTGCTATAGCCATGTCATTTCCCTGGTGATATGATCTCATATAAGCCTCCTCACCTCTCCAGTCTCAGTCATCTCAATAGAATTTCTGGGCAATCAAATGGAAGTAATAATAGAATGCTTTATGTTACAAATGCAGTATAAATGCTAGTTAGCGATACTAGGCTAAAATCAACAGTCATAAGTATGTTGTGAAAGCAAAGGGAACCAAGAGTTCTAAATGTGTTCTGAAGTCCCAGCCTTTCCATTCTACTGTGTTCCACCAGATTTCTCCAGTGCTCAGTTTCCTATGATCTTTACTCGCTCATGATGGTTTTTTAAATCATGATTCATGGGATACTTGCTGCAACTGGTATCACTAAGTCAACCCCATTCTCCTTCCTTTAATGTATAGGTGAAGCCTTGAAACCTACTCCTAAAGAAGAAAAATAGAAAAAAAAATTACTAAATACTTCTTTGGGACCAGGTACTCTCTGTGCCTGAGATCCTTTTCCACAAACCCCAGACTGTTCCCTCAGCGAAGAAATTAGGAAGCCTTTGCAGCTGAAACCAGTGAAAATTACATTTCTATTAAAAGCTGTCTGTAGCTAGGTGTATCCATCTCAGGTACAAAGTTAAATGATACAATAAACTTATTCAAAGACATTAAGCTATTATGTACAATATCATTAAATATCTTCTACTCAATGTTAACAGAATACAGCTAGAAATTTCTCTTGGTTGCCATTTTGCAAACTGCTAGTTCTCAATGGGTTATGCACGTACAAGTTGTTGACCTAAAGTTTTGCTGCCCAAACTTAGGAATTAGGATGTCAGAAATGCATGGCCCTTGGAAATGTAATAGTTTTCAGTTTTCTCAGATTATCACTCCTGAACTTTAGAATGCCAAGTTTCTTCTAGGACTGGTTTCTGCAGTTGCTTTCTATTGGTGAGTTGCATGCAATACAGAGCCTATATGTCTCACACATTAGAAATCAGAGGTAAGGAGACCCAGCAGTTTGAGCTATTCAAAGATGGGATTCAAAGATGGGAAGTAATATGGCTACTTTGAACTGTGAATCTGATTCACAGCCCTTAAAAGCCACACACTCAGGACCATTGCTTACTTGCTGCACAAAGGGATAAAATGAAAGAGAAAAATTGAAAAGAATATAGAGTATTATTATGTCTGGGAAAATACAACAGTGCCAATTTTCCTGTGATTATTCATTTAAACTGCAAGTCAAAAGAAAATGCACATAAGATCCAGATATTTCTCATTGAATTGCCTAATTCTACCAACTCGACATGATTCTCATTTATCTTTGAAAGCCAAGTCTTCAATTGAGGTGGACCCTGTCTTTTTTGAGCCAGGATGGATGGGCACACAGCAAACATCCAGGGTTTGCCTCAGTCCTGCATTCTTTCTGTGTGGGTTCTTCCTACAAGCGAGTCAGTTAGAACCACAAGAAATGTTGATGTGCTTCCTGGAACCCAAGGCCTTCCATGCTGTCAGATCTGGTCACTGTAGGGCAGCTGAGCCAGGTCCTAATGCGCTTCCTCTCATTCTCCCAGGAAACAGCATCCTCCATTCAGCTGCTGATAGCGTGACCAGCGCTGTACAGAAGGCAAGTCAGGCCTTGAATGAGCGTGGAGAGCGGTTAGGCAGAGCGGAGGAGAAGACCGAAGACATGAAGAACAGCGCCCAGCAGTTTGCAGAAACTGCACACAAGGTGAGCCAGCAGAGGACAGGGGTATCAGCACTGGGTTTTTAAAAGTCAAAAGATTTATATGATCTGAAAAGAAACCAGAGTATTAGCCCTGGGTTTTTAAGAGTTGAAGTGTCCAGAAACTTTTAAGTACCAGAGTTATAAAATATGTCTTCATGTAATATCTGGTTTCTTTGATGTGCTTCTCCATGTCTCTGGCCTTCTTACCTTGACTGTTTAGAAAATATGGACCATCTTCAATTTCTGCCTAGAAGTTCAGAGCTCAAGTTTCAGGGAACAGGATAAGGGAATAATGAGCTCAGTTTTCAGAAGATATCCCCAGTCTTGGCCAAGGTTTAGAAGAATTCATGGCAGACTTACTTTTCCATCCCATGTCTTTCCCACCCTGTGTCTGACATCCTGTGTTCTTATCTCTTTACCAGACTCAAGCAAGCTCTGGTCTCAGGGCTGGTGTCCCCGTGGAGAGGGGCTTGTTATTATTTCAGGCCCACAGTTCTGGAGCTCTGAGTTTGAGCAGACTGGCATAGTCCTTCCAGCAAGAGTGCTTCCTGCCTCTCAGTGCAGAGAATGGTGTTTTCTGCTTGGCCAGACCCACACCCTGCACATTCACATTCTCACAAACAGCTGTTCCTTTCAGAAGGAAAAGGTGGAGTTTTTATTGGAAGCCACTATCTAAGGCAGTCACAAACCAAAAGAAATCAGGGCCCCCTTGGTCAGGTGATAAAGAGGATTTATTATAGTCCTTGTGTGTCAGATCAAAGGACAATTCTTTTCTGGCTAGTGATCCAAATTGCAGTTCCCAGAAGCCATTTCTGCTGAGGACCTGTATTACCTTGTGAGACCCATGATTGGGACCTTCAGATGGACTTTTCAAGTGACTTTTAGGGCCAAAAAGATATATATTTTGCTTCAACAGAAAACCCTACTTCTGAAGAAACAAGAATGGAAAACCAACCAAGCAACAAGAAAAATATTCCCAGTTGAGCCGAGGTGGTATCTCCCTGGATTACTCTCAGGCCCAAGTGAGGCCCTGGCTCCCAGCAAGTGCTTCCTGCCTTTACTCCTTGCATCTGTTTTCCACAGATGTGTCTGGGTATGTCACTGGTTCTCCATCTTACTGCATTGTTGCCTCTGGAGCCCATTTGGAATTCCTTGGAGGAGAATTGGCCAAATTCATCCGAAAATGCTGGCAGCCCGACTATAGGCCCTGGGTCTCAGATTGCTGCGGTTGTTATAGAGGAGTAACCTGGAATTGAACATTTCTCTAGTTCTCCGTCTCTTCTCCAGCCTTTGTCTACAGAGTAAAGATGAGATGGAAATGCCAGAATTCCAGCCCATCTTCATTTATAATGACAGAAACTAGAAAGGCAGGCAGTGAAAATCTGGGAAAACATTTTAAAATGTTGAGCTGGGGAAGAGAAGGCTAAAGGGAATAACTTCGTAACTATCTTCAAGGATGGGAATGATGATAGTACAGGCAATTATCTTCCATGCCTTCCTACACAGAATAGAACAGTCAATAGTGCACTGATAAAATTCTGCTAAAACAGGAGTGTGGTTTAATGATTAAACCATGAACCAGGTTACAGGGAAAGACTGTGAAGTCGTTCTTCTGAAAGTGGAGTAGACAATACCTGGATGTCATTCATGTAGGCGTCCCTCTCAGAGGAGGCTGTACAAACACCCAAGTGGATAGCCTAACCAGATGGCCTGAATTCTTGGCCCTAGCAATCCTGTTTCCCTGATATTATGGCCAAGTTTTCTACGTGGTTGGGAAATAATATGGTATAGTAGTTAAAATTTTGGGTTTTAATCTAGCTATGAAGCTATTATCACAGTATGCAGCATAATAAATCTGAATTATGATTATCTATAGTTTTTCCATAAAAATAGTTTCTGCTGAACCTGCCCTGTTCAATCACAGAATGAGCTCTGTAAAGGGACTAGAGAATTGTTACTAGTTTCTGAGGATTCTCAACACAGCCCCAGAGAAGGAATGGAGGTGAAGACTTCATGCTTTTCGAATTCAAAAGTGAAGTGAGGTAGGAGAGCCTCCTAAGAGGTGAGACCACCTAAACAGAAAGCAACCTTCGAAACAAGACCTGTCAGCACCTAAACTGGTGGAGTCACCAGAGACAAAAAGACCTCTGGTTTTCACCAGTAAAAGATCCCAGAGCTGGCAGCAATTTGCATTTGATTCAGTTTCCCCTCTTATAGGTGCTGGGGGGAGGGGGCTGCTGGAACTGGTTACCTGTGTGAAGGAGCAGGAGACAGTGTCAGAGCCAGACTTGCAATTTTCTAAAACTGGGATATGTGTTTATGAATCGCCAGCATTGGCAGTGTTCCTAACGGGCAGATTGACCTCTTTAGCTAAGATGTAGCGATTTTCCCAGAGACAAGGACTGCTGATTTGGCCCCTCTAGTGTAGGCTCACCATGAACATGTCAGCTTACTGGCCAAGCTTCAGCCAGACCTGCTGATGAGGAGAGAGCTGGACTTCCATCCCCAAGAGGAGCAGGGCTTTTCTGACTCACAAAAAATGGGCTGTGTTTACATGTGGAGGCACAGAGCGCATGGTAGAGCCCTGAGCAGAGAACAGTAATTCCAGGTGACAGTTTCTCTGAGTTCCCTGGTGAGTAAGGACACCCAAGCCCACATGGAAAGTATGGCACACTCTCCCAGATTTCAGTAGCAAAGGATTTTTGGTCTCTAAGTATTCTCAGGACCCCTACAATATCCCAGGTACAAAATGAATGAATCATTTTTGCACAGCCCTGCCCTCAAGATATATGGGTGCTTGTCCTCTACTGAGCAGATGGACAGTGATCCCATTCCTCCCTTCCCAGTACCCCTCACCCCCAGCTCCCATCAGCCTGGCTTGAGGAAATGTGGTTCCTTCCTGAGCTGTGGGCTTGGCACAGTCCCAGCTATTAGGAGAGTACAGTTCCACCACAAAAGCAGCCCTGCTCACTTTCCCTGGCCCCAAAAGCACAACATTGCAGTGTGTGCAGCCTTTGACAGCTCGCCATAGGTGGTGAGTCAGCGGGTAAGGGCATTGCCCACACCTTGGCATCCTCAGATGACATTATTTCTCACAGAAAAGAACATTGCTCTGCCCTCACGTTTGTGAGGGAGAGAAAAGAAAGTGGCTGTCTCTTCTCATTACTAGAGACAGCTGTCTCCCTTGGGTCTCTAGGCCAGAAGGGAAGGGTCTCAGGCCTCCCAAAGTATCTCCATGGTATCAGTAATAATCTTTCATTGTCATTACTTAGATGCACTACATTGCATAGCAATGTTGATTGATGCTTTCTATAAGACCTTGAGACTGAAATAGATTAAAAGTTTTAAACTTCTCTTGGAATTTAAGACACTCACATCCACAGAGTTGGAGACATGTTAATAAACCTATGAGGAACATAAAGTGTGGAACAACTGTAACTTTAGAGCTCAAGGTCTTATGGAAGATTTGTAGCAGCAGGTATACTGACCTTGCCTAGTCCAGTGCCTTTCTGCTGTACCACCCTGTCTTCTATGCTCTAAAGTTCCTAATTCCCAGCAAAACTTTAAACCAGAATGATGCCACATTCTGCAAATATAATCTAACAGTCTGTCTGGGCGACTGTAACAAAATGTCATCTGGGAGATTTATTTTTCATGCTTCTTGAGAGTGGGAAGTCCAGGGTCAAGGTGCTCTTAGACTTCATGTCTGATTAAGGCCTGTTTCCTGATTCTTAAATAGTGACTTCTTAGAGTGTCCTCTAAGAAAGGTGGAAAGGGCCAGGGGTCTCTCTCCACTGTCTTTAAAAGGACACTAATACCAGTCATGAGAACTCTTACCTTGTAATCTAATTACCTCCCTTAGGCCACACCTCCTAATACCACTCATTGGATGTTAAGCTTCAACAGATAAATTTGGGGAAAATATAGACATTCTGACTATAACAATACCTCAAGTAGCAAACTTCCCAATCCAGCTGTATGTCTGCACAATATAACTGGTCAAGTCCGGGGGCTCCCCTAAGCTTGATTTCCATTACAGTTCCATGGGAACTGGGGCCTAATTTGAGGAGTAGCATAATCACTGCTGAAGATTAATGGCTGTGTAAATGGACGTAAGCCCATAATTAAAAGTTAACAGCTCAGTGGATACCAGGACAGCAGCACTGATCAAATATTTATGGTTGATATTCATTATGCACGACACTTAACAGCACAGTGTTGATTTGATGATCCTCCTTACTAAATAATGTATGAAAACTAGAGACAGAGCAGAAATTGAAGACCATACAGTTAGAAGGGCTCAGAGTGCAGCTGAGGAACAGGACAGATCTGAGTTTGAGCCACACCTCTGTTATTCCACTGGTCATGTTCCCTAGACTATAAACCGTCAGACACCAGGAGTTATTAGCCCACGCCACACTTTCTGGCAAAAACCTGCAGCACTCAGCATGGCAGCCTGGGAACACTCAGAACTTCATGAACTCTGTGTCTGACAGTTGATTAACCATCGGTATCAGCACTGCAGGAGATCGGTGAAGGTTCTCACTGGCACCACTAGACAGGGCACAAGGAGCTCTCTCAACTGATGTTTCCTGCACAGAGATTAACTTCACAACATGAGGGCTAGGGCCACATGTCCCTGCTCTACTACATGCAGAAACACTGAAGCTGTTTTTCTTGGTGGGAGTCCCAGGGTTAGCACTTCTCTGTTGAAGATGTCAAGAAGAGGAAGGGGGACACTCAAATTGCCCTGAATTTTGCTGAAGAAATGGAATATCGCAATCTTTCAAGACGGTGTAGAGAATCACTGGGTGGATTCAGTGGAATTCCCCCTTACTAATTTTTAACAAGCAGAGAATCTGACCAAGCTTTCTAAAAAGTTATTTCCTATGGATAATCATCTGCTCTTTGCTCAAAGAAATTCTGAGCTGCAAAAACGTAACCCTAATGATTCCCAGCCCCAACTGAAAGAATTATTCTCCAATATCAGATTCTGGAAACATGAAGAACTAAACTTCAGTCTCTAATCTGCCTACTATGGGCTTCTTAGAAAAATATCCAGATATGAAAAATCAGATTTTATATAATTTATGTTCTGCGCCTTCATATAATTTCCTCAAATCCATCATCATGGGCTCCAAGATGCTTGGGAAAGTATTGAATGATACAGTGGTACTTGGTGTTCCCATTTACAAAGATCTAACATTTTAATAGACTACATTTCTCACATCCCAATGGGAGAAGTAGTAAATCAAGGTCTAGACTTGGCCTATTGTTCAGACCCAGTCAATAACACAATTTACTTGTCAAGAGTGTTGGCCACAGTTGAATGTCCAGGAGAGATATCGAGTAGATGATTATATTTTGTCTCTTGAAGAGCTATTGAGTCTTTAATCTTCTGTGAGGTGTCAGTGAATACATTTCAGGACTGTTGCTCTTCCAGGTTAACTAGTAACCTGGGAATACCAGCATTTCTAAAGCCAGTCATTCCTTGTGCTTGTGTATTGGTTTATCTAGTTGGTCCTTCAGCATAATGAAAGGAAACCACACAGCACTCTCCCTCACTGCACACCCAGAGCAACAAAATTAAAGTAAGGAAAAGTAATAGTCTCGGTGTCCAGTGAGCTCCTTGAGAAAGTGTCACACTTTGACTAGGTGTCACTGTGGATAATAAGGATGACTGCTGCAAGGAGTAGACCCTCGGTGCTGTTTCTCATGGAGAGTATAGGGAATGGGGCAGCAGAGAATCCTCTTTCTCACTTTTTTTCATTCCTCTCTTCTTAGCTTGCCATGAAGCACAAATGTTGAAAAGCTGCCTATCCTCGTGACCCTCTTAAGAGAAATGGAAGAATTGTTCAGCAGTTTTTACAAGAATTCTGGACCTCCAGTTGCTTCTTTTTTTCCCAATATATGGACACTTAGGGTTTTTTGTTTTGGTTTGGTTTTCATTTTCAGGTGTTAATATGAATGAAAATGTGTTGTGTTTATACATTCACCTAATAATCTTGCTAAAAAATGCAACAGTAGCATCAGTTTCATTTTAATTTTTTCCCTTGTGTGTGTGTGTGTGTGTGTGCATATGTGCATGAGTGTATGTGGGTTTGTGTGTGTTTGGATATTTTCCTTTTTATGAAGAAATTTTTTTGAAGTTTGGATATAAAATTTGGACCAAATGATAAACTAAGCTGGGTCTAAACTGGCAATGTGTATTTTTTTTCCCTTCCTGATATTAAGCAAGAAGACATTTCAGTGTGGTTACATCAGATGTTATTGTTGCTGGATGAAAATAAAAGTCAAGCAGCAATTGGTTTCACTCACACTCCTAGAACTCTTAAGTTGAAGAGTAAAATTAGAATTCTGTATCCTGCGATATAAATCTGTCTTATGAAAAATACTTGGCTTTATCATAGGAAATAGCAGTCTTAGATTTTACTTTTTGCATATTAATCTTTTGCATGTACCATTACCAGTATTCAAAAAACAAATCAGAATCACAAATAGAAATCTACTTTCTGAGCTGCAACTTAATGACTTCTGCTACTTCTTTCCAGACTGATGATTTGGAATTATCATATGAAGGATAAAAGCTTGAGAGTTAAGACCTAAAGGAAAGCCTACTTTTAAAAACTCTGTGGCTTCAAGGATGTTTCTCTTTTGTCTTTGTGCCAAATTACCATAGCTGGTATTGGAATGAGCTTGGATTTTTATCAAAAATTGATTTGTCCAGATAAAATGTCTATGTGAAAAGATACTGCATTTAAAATCCTTTTTCTTCTGTTTTTACAAAGCTATGCCCATTTTAGAGACATCCTCAGAATGTCCTTAGGAAAGGGCCTTCAGTTTCTTGGTATCTGGCTTTTGGAGGTTTGCATGTTGTTCTTACTGTCTATTTAATGCAATTTAACATGTGTGTTTATTGACAAATTGCATATGATAGTAATTGCAGTTTGCCATGAATTTTGTCATAAAGACTTTATGTTGCTGCCAGACTGAATAGAGTTGGTCACCTACCTTTTGTTTGTGTGTTGGTCAAGATGATACTACATTTTTGGTCTAGAAGCTTTGTTTTCAAGAAGATTAAAATACTAAACATTAAAAAGCTGTCCTTGTTCCTCATGAAACAAGGAGGCAAAGCTGTATATCTCACATCTTAGACACACTGTCAGCCTCTCGCTGCAATACACTGATTTTTAAGCTGCCGTAGTCTTCAGGACCCCCTTCTGTTCCTTTCTTTTCATTGAGCCAGTGGAGTCCTTGTGCATTGTAGTCTCTTTCTTATATAGGAGCATAAGATGACTTTTGGATTCTTAATGTTGACTTAAATAGCTTAAGTTCTCCTGATAAAGCATTCCTTGGGAGACAGAATGTTTGTCTGTCAGAAAATAAAAATCATAGGCAGTACATGTCAAAAGGGAAATGGATTTGCTGAAGACAAACTTCTTAATCTTCTTAGAGAGATGATCCAATTCGAGAAAATGCTATAAAATTTATATAGTAAACAATGAAAGTTTACTATAATATTTTTACTTTTATTTTGGTATCTCCAAAATTTAAAGAGGCATGCAATATGCCATTTCATGAGTGCCATTAGAAGCATTTATAACTTCTAGGAAAATCAAAATAGATTTTGATGGCAGACTTCAGTTCAGAAAACGCACAACACACAAAACACAGCTATATATATATATATATATTCATCTTCTCAAATTAGATTCTGGTTTCCAAGATAGATAGGTGGTATAAATAATTGAGAGAGTAAATCTAAAACCCTCTGACAGTTGACCAAACTCAAGAATAACATTGGTGTTGGTCATGTCCTTGACCTCCCTGTATCAAAGTACTACTTGGCCTCCTCCAAACAGAGGCCATAACAGCAATTCCTATCCCTCTTCTACCTTCCAGCCTCTGGTAGAGGATCCCTGTGACAACACAGGTGAAATTCTTTGCTATTCTTTTGTAGAAGGTGCTGCAATACAAAATACTAATACAATCTAACCTAGAGAAAATTGCTAAAATGATTTATATCATTTGGGACAAACACATTTGGTTGAGCTTGCTAGATGAATTGTTTTTTTCTGTTTCCTTTCAGCACTTCACTATGAATTTTTTTGTGAAGGACTTCTCGAATTGTATTGCCACAATAAAGGAAAGAATCTTCAGTGTTTCCACTTCTCCCTGGGACATAGCGATAGCATTCTTCACTAGTATTATTAGGTATCTGTGTTCAGGAAGTATGCAGTTATTCAGGCTAATGTTTCATTTTAAAGAATGTATTTGTAAAATGTAACAAGATCAGTAGTTAACAATTTTTGAGCTCTACAAAAATTAAAATTATATGTTAGACAAAATTATACTGAAATCTGTCAATACTATTGTGGCTAGCAGAGGCTGTGCATTTATGTAAAAAATATTTAAAGAATACTCTAAAGAAGGGATATTAAAGATAGGTTTCACTTGTAATTTTCAGAATTATAACACTGCTAATGTCTGTTGTACAGTTATCAATTCTTCAGAAGATCTCTAAGATAATTGTTGTTTCATTCAGAGACCAGTAACACCTGCTCTGTTGATTCACTACTACAGCAAACTTTAATTTTGTCATTAAATATTTTACTTCTGTGGTGAAAGTTTGTTTCTCTTAGTTATTTGTGAAACCTGTAAGATACTACCAAATGATTCCATGTCACCACATCTTGTGTGCCTACAGGAGACATCAGAACTAAGATTAGCATGGTGATGAAGTCTCACTATATACATTCTAGTGGAAAAATTTGAAATGTAAAAAGGTCTAAAGAGCTAATCTCAGTTTTGACAATGGGCATCTATCTAGAAGAGTCAAGCATTTTTTTTTCCTTATGATGATTATAGCAATGAAGCCAACAAATAGTTACCTTTCTGCTGTTAGTGATATGCTCACCTCAAGTATCTATATAGTATGTTCCCTGATTAGGCAGACTAGTTTTATATCTTGCAAAATTAAAGCTAAGACTTGACTATATTATGCCCATTTATTTTTATGGAAAAGCCAGTGCCGCTATTGTGTTGCTCCATTTGCTTGCAAAAACGAAAGTGACTTAGATGAGTACTGTAGCAGAAGAGCCATCTCTAACATGGTATGGATATTTGGCGAAGTAGGCAAAATTTCAGAATACTTCCTGGGAGGTCTACAGGTGGAAGGAAAAGATTGAAGTCTCACTGTTCAAAAGAAGACAGAGATGCTGTTTGGCTGGATGGGGACCTAGACTTAAGCTAATCCTGCAATTAAAGGCATCTGTTCTTGTGAACTACACTGTAAGCCAATTGCCTTACCAGTTAATCTTTATCTTTTTGTTACCAATTATACTATAACCAACTCTCAAATTTTATGGGAGGATTAATACAAAAAGTTGGTTTTTATGATGCCTTTTCTCTGTTGTCAATAGGTACATGCTTACTTGGGGAAAACTGTTGACCTATCATAGTCATTATCTTTCTAAATAAGTCGTTTGGAAAAGTAGGGGGATAGAAAAAAGGACGGGTGGTGAGAAAAAATATCAGACATTTCTGTGGGAGTATGGTTTTGTATTGATTCTCAGGCTAGCCAGGGTGCTGCAGATTCACACATGAGTACACGCTGGCATTGAGAAAAGTGCTCTGCTATGCTCCTAGACACAGACATGGAAAGAGAATACATGGCACTCCCAAGGCAAATTTCACTTCTTTTCTGAAAATGTAAATGTATTCAGCCCTCTTTAGCAAGATGCTGCAAAGGATAAAATTTTTTGGTTTATGTATTTATTTATATATGTATTTTGGTACCAGAAATTGAGCTCAGGACCTTGTGCTTGTGAGGCAGGCAGCAGCACCATGAACTAAATCCCTGGCCCCTTGGTTTACTTTTTGAAAATCCAGAAATTATATCTGGTTAGCTTTCCATCACTAAAATAAGCATCTGAGATTATCAGCTTATAAAAAGAAAGAAAAGGCTTATTTTTGGCTCACAATTTTGGAGGTTACTATCCACAATCAGGCAGACTCCTTGCTTTTAGGCCTCTGGTGGGGAGTGGGTGGATTGGGAGTGGGGGAGAAACACCTCATTGCAGCAAAGCTTGTTCTGAAGCAAAACCCTTCACTCCATGGCCGGAAAGCAAACAGTAGAAGAGATGAGATTTCCACAGTGCCCTTCAAGGGAAGCCGCCAAGACCTGAAGACCTCCCACTTGACCCCACCTCGTCACAGCTGCACCATCTGTCCGTAGCACCAAACTGGAAACCATCAATTTTAACACATGGGCCTGGGATGACATTCCAACTCCATGTCTTACACTCTCACCCCAAACTTTTGAGCAGTTTCCTCTCCTCCATCTATGCCCCCAGCTCCTTGCTTTCTGGCCCTTGCTTTCCTACTTTCACTCACTCAACTAATAAAGTGTTAGCTCACAGTGGCCCAGGCCAATTCCTCCATCCTGTCACAACCAATTGGAGAGTTTTCCAAATTGAGGTGGGAGAGAGGCTCTGGCTTTCCAGATGCTTACTAGGTTTAAACCAGCAAAATACAGCTGTCAAGGAAATTGCATTTAAGATGCCTTCACGCTGTTACTCTGTGGTGCAACTTTCTACACTGACCCCCTCCCTTGAGCCTCATCAGGAACCTCGGGATTTCCTAAGCTACACTTTCACTTCCCACTTTCCTCCCTTCTCTGAAGTTTTCTGCCACATATTCTTTCTACTGATGACTCAGTGCTCGATTTCACCAACTTCAGAGCGTCTGCCCTTGTGGCCCATTCCACAGGGCACAACCAGGTACAATTCTGTGAAGTGGTTGCCTTCGCTCCTTCAACCCACAGGAATTATGGACAAGCCTGTGTGCTGCTGAGTTCGTTGATGATGCAATTGTCATTGTTCTCACTCTTTGTCTATTAGACATTAAGTAGTATTGATTCTCTCAGGGAGAGGGGAAGTTTTTTCATATATAGCACATATTGTTTTTTCTGTCTCCCATACATTCATTCTGCCCATGGATGTCTGTCTAAATGAGGCTGGCCTCATTACACACCAGACTTAGACGTGTCAGGGCTGGACAGTAATTTCCAGCTCTTTGAGTCCCAGGTGTTATTTGTCAGCATTACATCTGGAGCCTTTGTCCCATGACACTATCACAATTTTTTCGCCACTTTGGTTACTTGTCAGATGACATGAAAAGAAGAAAAAGGGCCCATGAATTCTCGGAGCTTTACCCTAAACTCTAATACAGGCTTGGAGGATCAACAGTTCTGAAGAAAATTTCTGTTTATGTTCTGACCATATGCGCTAAATAATTTGTTTAAATGTAACACAACATCCTTGGTGACTGAAGCTTCAACCTTATGTTAGTTTTTATTAAAATCAATCATTTTACTTGCTGTCCAAAGAAAGAGCATATAGTTCCTACTTACTACTGAGTGTTTCTCTTCATAATACAGTGGCTTCCTTTGGCCATTTTGTATTTTAGACTAAGTTAAAATGACCAAAACTTATAGACACTTTTACACCAATCTGAAACTTTTCAGTATTAAAGCAGGCTTGAAATTGAGATAAAAAGAAAATTAATACGATTTATATCTATATAGTCCTCACCTGTGGAAAAATAAAATATAGTCCCTTTTAACAGAGGTGAATGAGTGAATAGGGACAGGACGCCCCCTTGTGTTGTGTTTTCAGAGTCACCACCGGGTGGTAGAAGAGTGGTCCCTGGCCCGTTTGCCCCGTTAGAAATCCATCTCCAGTTTTGCTGAATGTGTGGCCTTGGGCAAGTTTCTCACTCTATTTTTAGCTTTTAAAAGGGGGTAATTCTTATTATAAGAATTGAATAGAATAATGAAGTGAATCATTCAACTCTTTGCCTTCCAGCTATGGGTTCACAGTTCTCTATGGGCTGCTTTTCTTTCTTTCCTTTTGAAAATTAATTTTATTGGTACATTTAAGGTATACAGATAATGAGATTCATTGTTGAAAATTTGCACCTTTACATAATCAATCTTGGTTCTTATTTTTTCCCCATCCCCCTGCCCTCTCTTCAACCCCTCCTTCCATCCCTGTCTACAAAGACTGTTTCCATTTTATTCCATTCTCTCATATTAATTCCATTCCCTTCTTTCCTTTCCCCTCCCCCTCCTATTTCCCCCTCCCCTTTGTCCCTTTTCTTCCTATTTCACATTATTTATTATACCTTTTAGTCCTTATTTACACTTTCAAACATCACCCAAGACTCTGGCCATTTTATGTCCCAGGGTCATGGATTCTTCAATATTCCATAGATAACAGGTTCAAGATAAAGACCAGAGTTGGAGCCTAAATCCATACTGTGGTGGTCACTTTCTGGAGGATATTTCCAACGAGGCTAAATTTACAGAAAAGAAATTGGCCTCAGTATGTGTAATCAACTAAGAGAGAAAAAGTGAATGGCTTTGTGACCCAGGCAGACCAAACAGAGCAGTCCGTCCCCTGGCCGTGATCTCTGGTCGTGTAACACAGGCCCAGCTACTGGCACTGTGAGAATGAGGTGAAGTTGTAGTATGTAAGCTTGGAACAGATAGTAGTCATTTTTGTCAACACTCTGGGAAAGCCTACGTGTTTTTGTTTTTTGTTTGTTTGGTTTTTTTTACTTTTAACTTCTATTGCAAATTTTTTCCATTAAATTTATTGGTACTTTGTAGGTATACAGTACAGTTACATTCATCATTGGGATACTGTACCTTTACATGATGTATCTTGGCTCTTATTTTTTTCCCCATTCTCCTGCCCTCCCTTCACATCCTCCACCCTCTGCTATTTACAAAGACTTTGTTTCCATTTTTCCCTTTTCTCATATTTTTTCTTTTCCCTTAGAAATGTATTAACTTGTAGCTCTGAAGACCAGAAATCTGCAATCAAGGTGTAAGCAAAGTTCACCTTTTTTTTTCTTTTTTTGTACTGGGGATCAAATGAACTCAGGACCAGGCACGATGCCACTGAGCTAAATCCCCAGCTGGGAAAGCCTACCTGAGATTGGAAACAACTCAAAGAAAATGAGACCTGAAAAAGGGCTGAAGACCATTTCCTGACATCGTGTGGGTCCTGAGTCCAACCAGGTCTGACATCTACACTGAGCTTTCAGATCATACATGTGGTTGATTCATCCTTTTCCTGCTAAAGCCAGTCTGAGTCACAGCCAATTTAATGTCTTTTAGAACTCTGAAGAACTATCGACATCACCTGGGAACTTCTTAGAAATGCAGAATCTCAGTCCACACACCAGATTTCCTAAATCAAATTCTACATTTCAGAGCCGGGTGTTGTGGTGCATGCCTGTAATCCCAGCACTCGTGAGGCTGAGGCAGGAGGATCACTGTGAATTCAAGACCAGCCTGGGCTACATAGTGAGTTGCAGGTCAGTCTCTACTACATAGTGAGACCCTGTCGCAAAAAAAACAAAAAACAAACAAAATCTACATTTCAGCAAGGTCCTCAAGTGATTAGTATGTTTGTTGAAGTTTAGAAAGCAGTTCAGTTTTCTAGGAAGGAGAAAATATTTAATTTACATTAAGGTTCACTGATTAAGGAGGATTCACTAGGCTTTTCTTCTACATCTGTTTTGCTTTCCCCGGGGAAATGAAGTCAT